AAAATTTTTGTATAATTTAAATAATTTGCATAATATATTCTTGAAATGCAGACTTGACTTTATGGAATAATGAATTAATTTTTTCTGAATTGAAATTATTTGTCAAAAGGAGAAAGCCTCCAAAAATACTATATTCCAAACTGCTTTGGGGTAAAAGAGAAAAACTGCACAACTTTAAAATGAACCAAAAATACATTAAGTAATCAAACACATGAAATTATTTATGAAATAGTCCTATTCCAAACCCAGGTATTGGTCAAAGTGTCAAGAAGCTGATTATTTTATAAATGTGCAACCATAAGAAACCAAATCACAGATAAAAACAATGAAATAAGCACAAATATGGATTTGTCTCAAGTTAGTTCTTATTTTTATTACAAGAAATATATGGAGAGTGATATATAGATTGATTCAAGAAATAATTAAATAAAGTACTACTTTCTCATTAACTACATGGATCATTAATTTTAACTTCCAATTCCCACTTCGGTTTATTCTAGGGAAATAATTTTCTAACAACGTATCAGTATAATCATTATCATCCTTCAATTAAACTATTAACAATTAGAAGCACACTTCTACTGTCCGTAGCAACTTTATAAACCCTTCCTTGATGGAATTTGGAAAGGGGTAAGATAGGTGAACTTTGTAATTACCCGTTCCTTGCCTATCTGATATCATACTCCTTTGATATTTTCTTAATACATCCTAACAACTGGGAGCTAGTATCTTATAAAATGAATGCATCTTATAAGATAGTAAGATGAATTGTAGTAAGATGAAAACAGGTAGTTCTTGACTTATGACCGCAATTGAGCCCAACATTTTTGTTGCTAAGCGAGACATTTGTTAAGTGAGTTTTGTCCCAATCTACGACCTTTGTTGTCACATTTGTTAAATGAATCACTGCAGTTGTTAAGTTAGCAACATAGTTGTTACATGAATCTGGCTTCTCCATTGACTTTGCTTGTCAGAAGGTCGCAAAAGGTGATCACATGATCCCAAGACACTGCAACCATCTAAAATATGAGTTAGTTGCCAAGTGTCTGAATTTTGATAACATCACCATGAGGATGATGCAATGGTTGCAAGTGTGAAAAACAGTCATAAGTTACTTTTCTCAGTGCTGTTGTAACTTTGAATGTTCACTAAATGAACTGTTGTAAGTCAAGGACTACCTGTACAGTTTTTCCAGCCAGTGACAGTCCAGATATATTGTTCTGCAACTCCTATAAATCCCAACTATTTTTAGTGTTGCATTTCCACTCTGAGCTTGTCATTCCTCTTAGATCTCAAAGGGAAAATCTGAATTATCCTCTAGCTTCTACAACATTGTCTCTTGGGGTCCCAGAACAACAATCCAAATCTCTTTTTCTGTTAATGACCATTTTATAACATACAAATCATCTCACAGAGGTTGTTCTAGAAGGAATTGTTCGACGAATACAGTCAAGGATAAATCTTAAATAGCTGAGTAAAATTCCTCTCTGGATCAACATCAGGATTCAGCCTGCATTCCCTCCCCTCCATGATTTTCAATTGTACATTCTGAGTTAAGTATTCACTCCAAAGGATTTGTTTCTTTCATAGACAAATAGGCCATTGACTAGGTAGCAGAAATAATATTCTCTTTAACAGGAACTCCAGCCCCCTACCCCCACTCTAAGAGACATTAACCGGGGCTTTTCATGCACTGTTGAGTTTATATAAACTGATTGACACCTTTGGGGGTCATCTTTCCATTGAGTCATAATTTTGCTCACTCGTGAAAAAAGGGTTTTCTTGGCTCTCCGTATTCTCCAGCTAAAGCTGAAAATTCAACTCATCATATTTACACAATAAAAAAAATCCATTCTGCCTTGTTTTTAATTGCAAATCTGACTCAGGGGACCAATTCTCCTGCTTAGGAGGCATCCCCGTGCCTTCTACCAGGGAACCAAGCGCAGTCAATTATGGTAATGAAATGTCAATAAATATAAAAATTTAATACAGTCGGCTCTGGCTGAGTGGCAGATGAAGACTTGCCTCCCAGACAAATTTGCTGGTTCGGCAAATATTAAATGCATCTGAAAGAGGAGTTAGAGCCTAAGAGTCCACCAGAAGCAGCGGGTAAAAGAATCTATCTATTGGGGTTTCCCTTTACATTGGAAGGATACAGCTCCAGTATTCATGAGTTTCATTGGAAAATCTTGATTTATTATTAGAAAGAGAAGATGATATTTTTTCTAAAAGCTAGCTGGTTGGCGTTAGGCTAGTCACTGTCTCTTACCCCAACCCCCCTCACAGGGTTATTGTGGAGGGGAAAATAGGAAGAGGAAGGAGTATTAGGTATTTTACCCAAAGGTGTTTTTTTCAAAAGGCAACTGGACTTTCTTTGTTTTTCCTTGAAGACATTTCCCTTCTCATCCAAGAAGCTTCTTCTATTATCAAAGAAATTATGTTCTAGCTACATTATTAAGACTTGCAGCATAAGTTATGATGTTGTTACATCCAGAAGAAACTTCTTGGATGAGAAATGAAACATCTTCAAGGAAAAACCAGAAAATGCAGTTGCCTCTTAAATAAGCATCCAGCAGGACAACCATGGTCTGGATGATTGAGAATCTCCATAGACAACTACCACCTTGGAGTTATTTATAAAAATAATAAAGATGCAATATAAATAAACTAAGTAAGAAAGTATACCGTATTTTTCGGAGTATAAGACGCATCTTTTTCCCCCCAAAAGGGGGTGAAATTTAGGTGCGTCTTATACACCGAATGTAGCCCCACCCACCCACTGGCCCGCACCCTTTGGCCTCTGCCTCACAGCAGTTACCTCCTTGCAAGCAAACAGCAAGAAAAAACAGCTCCTTTCAGCTTCAGCACAGCCTAATTAGCACAAGTTGATTGGATGGTCCTCCCAACTCTCAGCTGATTTGCTCTCAGCTGTTTTCTGCAGGGCTCTGCTGCTTGCTGCAAGGAAGAAAATTGCTGGAGCAGTTTTGTTTTTTCCCCTTGTGCTAATCAAGCTATGCTGAAAACAAAAATGAAAGTAAAGCAGGCTGTTTGCTCTTTGCTGCAACAAGGCAAAATTGCTCAGAGGCAGAGGGAGATTTCTTTTTCTTCTTTTCCTCACTAAAAAAGGTAGGTGTTTCTTATAGTCCGGTGTGTCTTATACTCCGAAAAATACTTGGTCACCATATCAAGGGACAATCTCTTTCCAATATATTTTCCCAACAAATTGCAGAGAGGAAATTGGCAGCATATAAGCCTGTCTTTGCAGCAATTCCATGTTAGTTACAGGTGACAAATAGGGTATTAAATGGCCATAGTATTTAGGATCATTTATTTATGCTGGAAATGAATTTGTGAACCTTTATATATTCAGATGTGATTTCATCCATAGTTCGTGAACAAGAACAAGGGAGAAGAAAGGTACCTCAACATAAACTTAATTTAAAACATTGAGTTTGCTTTCATTCCCCAAGATAAATGCAATTATCTTGGTTTTCTAACTTGAAAAAAATACCACACTTTCTATTGTCTTAAGATAAGACAGACAATCACATTGAAGCCTGATAGATTTGAACAGTAGCTTTAAGAACTGTCATGAAGATAATTTAAGTAGAACATCCAAATAAACATATCTCCAGTTAATATACAATTACTTATTTCTGGAAGTTGTACTCCAGCACATTTGTTACTCATTAAGTTGTAGAAGGTTGATTTAAATAACTCATTCTGCAATAAAATGTTGTAGTTCAAAATACTCCCGTTCACTACCTGGTCATTCACTATGCATTTCTCTTAAAAATATCTCAAAAATACACTTTCCTGTTGATTTTACAATTACCAAATCCTTATTGTTTTTTTTTTTCTGTTTATTGATTTTTAATATTTGTTCCCTAACTTGTTCATATTTTGCTTTTGAGTTGGGATGATATAATCTGGTTACATAAGCAATAGTATTCATGTCACAGTTTTACAAATAGAGGACTTAATCTCAGAGTGGTGTACACAAATGAGACAATATATTAACAGATGAAATGTGGAGTTAAAAAAAACAATGTATGATAGTAAGAGGCATGTATATGTGTACACAGTATGTTTATCTAGAAATTATCTAAGATTTTCTTTCAGCCTGCCTCTTGAGAACAAAAAGTATAGATAAGATAGGATGAGATTACATATTTAATTCTTCTTATCCTCACGATAACGTCACAAAACCAAGCCAAGTGTTATCTAGCCAATTTGATCCTTTTTCTCAGAAATGATGATTACATTTTGGGAAGCCAACTAAATGATAGATAGAGGATAGATAGATAGATAGATAGATAGATAGATAGATAGATAGATAGATAGATAGGCAGCCAGACAAATTAGGGGTGACATGATAGCAGGATTCCAGTATTTGAGGGGCTGCCACAAAGAAGAGGGGGCCAAATTGTTCTCCAAAGCACCAGAGGGCAGGGCAAAAAACAATGGTTGGAAACTAATCAAAGAGAGAAGCAACCTGGAATTAAGGAGAAACTTCCTAACAGTGAGGACAATTAACCAGCTTGCTGGAACAACTTGCTTCCAGAAATTGTGGACGCTGTATCACTGGATGTTTTTAAGAAGAGTCTAGACAGTCACTTATCTGAAATGGTATAGGTTCTTCTGCTTGAGCAGGGGGCTGGACTAGAAGACCTCCAAGATCCCTTCCAGCTCATTCTAGTCTATTCTATAGATAGATATAGAGATAGATATGATAGATCTAGGTATATATTACTGTCCCAGTACTCAGTACTAAGAACATCACACACTGAATGTGTGATGACAATTCTCATCAAAATTGAAGGGTGTGGTTCAGAGTTCTTCGGGTAAGGAACTGGTCAGAACTGAAAACGATATGCAGATGTATGTATTTATCCTTGTCCTCCTTGTGTCCCAGCACTGCAACCCATTTACAAATGCATGAACTAAAAAAGATGTACCTGGTTAAGTTCAGTCAACAAAATTCTGGTGCTCTTTTACAGGTGGATTATTCCGTAATCGCATCTCAAGCAGGTGCCACCCTCAACAGCCTCATGAGCCATGCACAGGAGCTGGTAGCTAAACTACGATCTCTGCAGTTTGATCTACGAGAATTTGTGTGTCTCAAATTTTTGGTGCTATTCAGTTTAGGTATGTATCCTTATTATCTTGATTTTTATTTAAATAAAAATAGATTGACTTTGTTCTGCTGTTTAATCCTTTCCCAACTGTATATGCAGGTTGGTTTTATTCTTTCCAGCTCAGCAAAATATTAGAAATTTTATAAAAGAGCTCAGAACTCTGTCCATCTTTCTTATTCTTTCTTTCCCATTCTCTCCCTCTCACTCTACCCATCAACAAGATTACTCCCTGAAAATTGAACAGATCAGGACCATGTCTTTTTCCTTTGGACATATATTATCTCTCAGTAGCAGCATGAGTCAATATATTATGAAGTTTTCCATTATGCAATGGAATGAGATGAGAATAGAAATATAACATCTGAAGAGAGAATTCTCGTTCATTCCTTAAGTTCGTGGCCTTAAAATGACTTGCTGACTGTTGATGTTTTATTTCATAGGATTATATAGGAGAGGATATAATGTGCCACTCAACTTTCATCCACAGATGAGGCACACTCAAAGCTCATCTACAGATCTTTCTAACTGTGCTTGAAAATACCTAATGTTAAAATGTTTTTAAGGACATGGCCTTAAAATGACTCTCTTGAGAACAAAAAGAATAGATAAGATAGGATGAGATACGTGTTTAATTCTCCTTATCCTCACAATAACCTCACAACTACATACAATTTTGTTTTTATAATTTTGCTTTTTATTCTTTCTCTTGATGAAATGACAGCTTGTTTATATATTTGAAAGCAAGGTAGGATTTAAACAACTTTTAAAGTAAAAAAGCTCCTAAATTAAATTAATGTATTTTTTTAAAGTATGTGATTGATTATATACACCATTTGATCTATTCTTTGTTTAGTATGATGATACATAATCAATATCCATTTTGATGAGTTTTTCCAAAAGAGAGGAAAACCCATATCAAATGTTGGATGAACATCTGATAGGCATTCTTACAAAATGCCAATATTTGCTTATTGGAAAGCAAGCTTGCGGTGTTCCTTCCTAACCTTCGCCCCCATCATGCCAGCGTGCTTCCACTTCATTTTCCCAAAGCATAGATTCATTGCTGGAACTTCAGACTGTGCCTGAGGCTGCTGCTCTGCTTTGCGATGTGTGAAGTTCTTTTTTTTTAAGCAATAAAAAATAAAACTTAAGTTCCTGTTTGTAGGCAATCTATATATGGAAACAGAATGGTGGCATACAAAACTGCCATGTTTGAGATTCAGGTTTTATACAGATGGTTATATAGGTTTATAGGTTATGCACAAAATTAGTTGAAAGTTGAGGAATGGCTTGTTTGTTTGTTTGTTTGTTTGTTTGTTTGTTTGTTCATCTTGTGCATTGCTGTGACAAACAAGGCAACTAAGCTTTATTTGCTGCTGGTCAAGGGAACTTCCACAGCAAAGCTCTCTCATTGTGGGTGCTTTTCCATAGCGTCTTGGAATTCTGCGATCTTCTCCAAGTAACATAAGACTGCACTGATTAAAATTTGTATCCACATTAGTCTACTGCAACTAACAAAGCTAATATAGCTAGATAGCTACATAGCTAGATAATAGATAGATATAAGGATCAGGAGGGAGGGAGAGGAAGGAGAGATGGAGAGATGGATAGATAGATGATAGATAGATCGATAGATGATAGATAGATAGATAGATAGATGATAGATAGATAGATAGATAGATAGATAGATAGATAGATAGATGATAAAGAGAGAGAGACAGACAGACAGATGAGAGAGGGGGAGAAAGAGAGAGAGATGATAGGAAAACATACACATTTTAATTTTATCTAGTTTGGTGGCTAAGAAAGGACTTGGTTTGGTTAGAAATTATTACAAGAAACAGAATTAAATGGCATATTCTATTGTAAATACCATATGGTTGAAAATTGTTATTTATACTTTTTTTGTATACAAAAAAAAATAAATAAATACAAAAAAATTAAATGCAAAAATAACTTTCTAGCCATTGAAAGCAACTGCAGGCCAATGATGTATGCGATGCATTTTGTCCTGCTTTCAAAAGTCTGGCCTCAAAAGACTCACTTAGACTTTTATTTATTTTTAATCCTGCCTGAAATACAATGACATCCTTTTCTGCCAAAACTCTGGCTTACTCTTCAGACTTTCATATCTCATTTTTCCTTGTGGCAGGCATGACCAAATAAATATGTTGCCTGTGTTCCTTTTATAAACCATGGTGGGCGGATTCACCCGAGATGTTGCTGGACTACATCTCCCTGCATCCCTTGTCAGGATCCTTTATGGCTGGGCCTGCTGGAAATAAAGTTCAGCAACTTCTGAAAAGCCATGTCTTGTATGCCTCTGATTTAGCCAACAGCATTTAAATGAAAATGCACAGAGAGATACATCAGTTTAAAACACAAACATAAGGGGAAAATATATGTTTTTATATCCTTCTGGAAGTATATGCAATGCTATACTCATAGAAGCATGCTGATGTATGTACTGTATAACCTGTGCTGATAGTTTATTTATTTTATTATTTTATTAATTTATTTATTAATTCAACTTATATACCACCCTTCTCCCCAGGGGGACTCACCTTTATTATGTTTATAAATAACTCAAGGCAGCAAACATACCCTCCTCTTATTTTCACAACAACAAGAAGCCTATGAGATGAATTGGGCTGAGAGAGAGTGACCATTCCAATGTCACCCAGCTGGCTTTTATATCTAAGAAAGGACTAGAACTCACAATCTCTTGATTTCTAGCTTGGTGGCTTAACCACTAGGCCAAACTATTTACTATTTACAAGAAATCAAGACCAGTGGTGAAATCCCCCCAGTTCTATCCGGCTCACCGAACCGGTAGTACCAGTGGCAGGAGGCTCCGCCCACCCGCCGGGACGTCATTACGTCCCATTTTTTAACCATCTGCGCATGTGCAGAAGGTTCTGTGCGTGCACAGAAGAGGCCCTAAACCAGCGAAGGTAAGTGGATTTCACCTCTGATCAAGACCATTACTAGGTATAAAAGAATCTTCACATTTAATCAATAGATAAAACTGTGGTTCTATCCTTTGTTGAAAGGTGGTGACAAGTAATCAGATAAGGCCGATCTTGCTAAAATTGTCCTCACTTCCTTCTGCTCACCTCTCTAGGAATGGAATTAATTTTTTCCATTTTAAAAGCAGTGTAATTTCAATCCAGAGAATTTAGGAATCCTGAAAAATCTGTTGGGTATTTTTAATGTTGCATCTATATTGTTAAATATAATACCATATAGATCTATTTTAAAAATCTGTTTTGTTAATTATATGCATCAACTTTGTAGAACTACAAATCTTTAAAAAAAATAAAACAAAGTTAAGCATCAGCTAATCTTAAAGCTCTGAACTGGAGGTTGCTGACTCTTTCCAGATGTTGATGACTAGGGAATAAAAAACACTACTGTTATAGAGGAATTATTATTTTCTTATAAATTAACTACTAGCTGAATAGCACAACACCTCTTGCCATAGTTTTGCACGTAAGATATTTTCACACATGTTAGGCAATGCAGCAGAAATGTCTCAGGAGTTATGTAGCTTGCTCTGTGATGAAATATTTAAAGCAAGTCTTCATACTTCAGTGATATTCTAAACAGCTGAACAGCTGAATTATATCTGAAAAATGCTCACATTTATTTTAAATAATTATTATGTGTTGTCATTTTCATCAGCCACTTCAAGTATGTTCGTTCATTTAGTATGTCTGGTATTATTCATAGCTCTTATTTTTTGAACTACTTGGCTTCATGTTAATGGAGGAACAAATTGTAAATCATACAGTGCAACTTTGTTCTCTGAACTCAGATGTTTGTTTTTCTAAAATATATTTTTTATAAAGGTTAAAGAAAATAATCTGAAAACAATATAAAACAAAACAAAACAGAATAAAACAATAACAATATGATTGTTAAAAACACTGTATATACTCATAGATAAGCCAAGAATTTTAGGAGCCAAAATACACCTCCAAAAGTGGGTTTGTCTTATCTACAGATGGGAGTATATGTAATAATAATTTTTTTAAAGTACCAGTATATCCCCTATATACTTGTGGATAAGCCCATCTGTGGATAAGCAGGCTCTCGCATATTTAACAAAAATATTATGAGAAATATGGATAAGCTAATTATGAAAATTAAAACATACAAAATTTTTGAAGGTCAGTTTATCCACAGATGGTTTATACATGCAAGTATATACAATATAACTGTTACCTACACCTTAATAGAGTAGCTATTTTTTTTCCCATGTTTGCACAAAAACCTGAAAACATTGTGTGCGGTATTCAAATTTCTCCTAAATCATTTCAAAAGCATAGACACCCCTAGGGAACAAATCTGGGAGACACAATCATTCAGTCACTGCAAAGCTATACAGGTAGTCCTTGACTTATGACCACAATTGAGCCCAAAATTTATTTGGCTAAGTGAGAACTGTTAAGTGAATTTTGCTCCATTTTACAACCTGTCTTGCCACACTTGTTAAGTGAATCACTGCAGTTGTTAAGTTAATAACACAGTTGTTAAATGAATCTGCCTTCCCCATTGACTTTGCTCGTCAGAAGGTTGCAAAAGGCAATCACATGACCCCGGGACACTGCAACCGTCATAGATATGAGTCAGTTGCCAAGCATCAGAATTTTGATCACATGACCATGGGGATGCTCCAGTGGTCATAAGTGTGAGAAACTGTCATACAAATCACTTTGTTCAGTGCCGTTGTCACTTCAAACGGTCACTAAATGAACTGTTGTGGGTCGAGGACTACCTGTAATGTGTTCTTTTAAACAGTTAACAAAAAATAAGAACTTTTTTTTTCCTTTGGGCTGTTCTTGCTTAAGCATGCCTGACCTTTTCTCTTATTTAGCGTATCCTCTTTCTGGCAGCCACAGCCACATCCACAGGAATCCAGTCCTTGTTTTCTTTTCCCCCAAATTTTCCATTTGTCCTTCTAGCTTTCCTTACTTGAAGTCAGCCTGGATGATTTGTCAGAGCCTC